GATAGAAGTTGCGTAGATAAGTCGTTGCCAGCATGCTTTGCTGATATCTCGCGATGTATATTGGAAGCCCTTATCCACATAGATTCTATCAAGTACACGTCACTTCCGGTGACACGCCTACCCCAACTTACGGATCTCGAGTATACATTCACCGAGAATTTGGAACCCAGAGAAGGATTCGTGCGGTTTAATGGAGTTGAGCATGTCTCGTATAGAGAATGACGTTCACTTTCGTGGAAGACCTTTTGATTGGTGCATATCGACGCCTGCGTGAACTTAGAAGGTAGTCATACAATGATACAATGAGCACATACCACTACAAATAGAATTTGTAAGTTCGGACGCTATAGCGTCAGCGCTAATGGGATCGACGGCTTTTGCGTTCTTACGCGCCTTATCACCCCTTATCAGTTGCAATCCACTTTCAATCACCCACCAACAATGTTCCCGTCCCACCCACATAACACTTGTAAGTATGGTTGCTCTGGTGTCAACGCGAGCTGGGTAACGGAATCGACGACTTTTGCGTTCTGACGCGCCTTATCAGCCTTATCAGTTGTAATCACTTTCAATCACCCACCAACAATGTCCCCGTCCCACCCCACATAACACTTGTAAGTATGGTTGCTCTGGTGTCAACGCGAGCCAGGTAACGGAATCGACGACTTTTGCGTTCTGACGCGCCTTATCACCCCTTATCAGTTGCAATCCTTTCAATCACCCATCAACAATGTTCCCGTCCCATCCCACATAACACTTGTAAGTATGGGTGCTCTGGTGTCAACGCGAGCTGGGTAACGGAATCGACGACTTTTGCGTTCTGACGCATCTTATCAGCCCTTATCAGTTGCTATCGCTTTCATTCATGTACCACCAATGTCCCGGACCACCCCACATAACACTTGTAAGTATAGACGCTCTAGTACCAATATGAACGACAAAACGAAATTGGCGATGCTCGCTTTCTAGCCCCTCTTATCAGCTATTATCAGTCGTTATCAGTTCCTATCACGTACCACTTGTGTCCCCATCCCACCCCCTATAACATATGTAAGAAACCATGGCGCTATCATTACTGTGACTCGAGCTATGAATTTCCGGTCAAACACACACACACACACACCAACAGACACACGCTAGCCGCTTATATATAGTTAGGAATCAGTCTCGAGTTCAGGGCACTCGAAAGAAAATTTTTCGAGGCCACCATTGATTTTGTTTATGGGCAAAAAAAAAGTAGGTACGGAATTCCGTTTCGGCAACAGTCTTGACCGCCTACCTGCTATATATCCGTTCGAAAGGAGGGAGCAAATCGCGTTAATGTTCCTTAAAGGTAAATTCACGATTAGAATGAAGGTCGAAGAAAGGGAAACTGACCTAGTTGAGGGACCCACGGACCTCCTGAGGGTGCGAACTGACGCGCAATTCGCATGGAAAAATTTGACCTCGGCGACCTATCATGCCTCAAAGCTGGCGGGTCCGGCGATCTCCGCCCACCGATCATCTGATCACTCGCCGTAGTTCAATACGTGGCGAGTGATTAGATAGCTGAGAGAGCGTAGTGTTGAAGAGGGCACAGCGATGAGAGTCGCATCAATGCTCAAATCAACGGGCAAGGAAGGGGTCCCATTTCTCGGGTTCTGGGCCGTTTCTCATGGTTCTTCCTTCTTTCGTGTACCACTCACCATCCCTAGGTTAATTTGAAATGGGTTGCTTTTTCATCGTGAATTCGTCCTTTAAAGGCAAGATTCAGGATTAAATTATGAGGTAATTCCACTCAAATGTGAAAGTAGGGGTAGGAAGTGGACCGCCAGTGGAGAAAAAAAAAAAATCGTGAAATACACAGGAAATACGAGCCTTTTGCTCTACGCTGCGGAGAAGTTCAAAAGGCCGGCAGGGAGATGAGAGATAATGTGAGCGCGGAGAGCGCTAGAGAAGTCCGAGTAGAGAGAGCATAGCAGATCAACATTGCGACGCAGACAAGATATCGAGCGGTGGGCGGAGCGTGTCGCAACAGGTGGAGCGTGTCAAAGTTCTTAGCGCCTAGCGTCTAAATAACGCTTTTCGAAGTAGGGAAGTGACGCGACCTCTACACTTGCGTACCTAGCGCTTCTAGCCACCGTAAAGGCTCATTAAGTGGGTCTGAGCCCGAACTTTGCCTTTAACCACACCCTGTTTTCAACAGCAAATCTTGAATGCTCCGGAAAGCCGAACAGCTCTTTCTCGGAACTTGATTGCTCAGCAAGAACTCAATGGTTAACCTCGCTGAATCTGGGCCCCAAAAATTTTATCACGGAGGCATCTAAAACTGCGGTATTGTTTTGCAAGGTATATGTTACGTTATTTGTTCAAGGTATATGGTGCTGTACCGTTTGTTTTGACAGTTTTTTGACCGAAACCATCACTGAAAGGAAATCAAAGCTAAAGCTGAAGAACCGCTTCGAACAACATGCGAAATAATGTGGAAAGCCGGAGTTTTAGGAGAGTAATTCTGGTTTGACAAAACTACCATGATATGGCATCAAGTCGGAAAAGTAGAATTTCAAAGAAGAATGAAATAACTTTTTGAAGCATTCAAAAGTGGAATGGAAGAAAACATTGTGGCAAAGTTGAGGATTAGTAATTAATTTCTTTCGGTGGAGTATGAGTTCAAGTTAGTTGCCGATTTGGTTAGTTCTCGTCTTCTGGACCTCCCGATTTGTGAGCCTGTAATTCATCCTCAATTCACAGTGAGTATAGAAGTGATTGGATGTGTTTTGTAACGAAAGCGATTCCTTTTTTGAATGGGGTGTAACACGGGGAGGACGACAATAGTAATTACAACAATAGGTTGTCCAAGTAACTAATGTTGTTTTTCTTCGGATGGGAATTTCTCCCTTGAATTCCCATGTCACTAGTAACGTTACGCCCTTTGAAGGAAAACTGTCTGCTGTCCTTTTTATTGCACTTTTGAAGCCCATGTTCGCAAAATAGGCGATTCAATCAACGAAAATTGACCAAGGCGGCAACTAGGTCTAACTCTGTTTTCCTCAGAAGAAACTGATCAATGACATACCCTTTATTTAACCTCTTTTGAAGACTTCGCTATTCGCTTCTTCAATAAGACTCTGACTCATTTACTTTGACCAAGACTCAAACTACCTTCTTGAGAGGAGCAGATCACAGTAGTCGAGAGCCTGGACAAAGAGATAACAAATGTAATTATTAAAAAGTGAAAAAAAGGAACACAGCCGAAGCGCAGAGAAGCTTCATCTCGCAACAGTGAAATTTTGCATGGCAGCATAGTTCGATGTCAAGAAATACAGATTTTTTTCAATACCAGATATCCAGTCGTTGTCGCAATGTGTGGTGTTCACATTCATATCAATGCAAGAGGTTTGGGATGTTGACCGACTTGAGTAGCATCTTTAGCCGCACTTTACCAGAATCTAATAAGTTTTCGAAGTTTTTTTTGCTTGCAGTTTGAATACTCACCCAGAATCACGCAGCCCTGTACGCAACACGGAACACCTTGTGAATAGTTTATTTTTTTTTATTTGAGAAGGCCAATCACTGGAGATCCTTCCTCTGTACCCGAGGCGGAGGGCGGGCAATATAACCGCCTACTATATATAATCGGTTAAGCGTATGTGTGGTGTCCTGCTATTTTGTCTCCTTTCTTTATCTGTCTGTACCGGAAATTTAATATTGCTCGTTCCTCCTTTTGTATTCAAGCTATTTAGCATTTTTCATAATTCCACTCCCTTTCCCAGAGCGCTCAAACTTCTAGGATATATAGGGGGCCGGGCGTGAACACTGATAGTGGGTGGCGGGAAGTGATAACTACTGATAGGAGCTGATAACGGACGTCGAAATGTTGATGTCACCAATTTCGTTACGCCGTTCGCGTTGACGTGGAGAGTTTGCACTGATGATATGATATGTAGGACGCGTAGTAGCGGACTGCGAACCCAAATGGCTCGAGCGGAAGGGAAAGTGATGAGCAAAATGGATAACGCGGCTAGAATAAAGGCACGGTCACATCGGAATGCACTAAGGTTACGTACAATGACTTTCGCAACCCCTTCAGCCACTCTGACCCTTGAGATGTACGGCGCCTAATCTCTATTTATGATGGTAGTCGAGGAAGGCGACGAAGAGGACATGTTATGTGGGGTGAGGCAGGGACCAAGAAGGTGATTGGAAAAAGGTAGTGCAGTATCACTGGCAAACGATCAAGGGAGCGAGGTGTTGATGGTGGGTGACAGAAAGTGGTAATGAGCGTCAACTGTACTGATAAAAGTAGCGACAATTGAGTGTGCGCTCATTCAAACTGAACCAGGTTCTAGCACGTGAATATGTTCATTCCTAACCTTTCACCCAAAAAGCAAAGGAACTTGAGCCACTCAACTCTCTGGACTGACCAATAGCGAATTTCCATCAGAGCTAGGCTAGATGCTGATTGATTGATCATATTTCACTCCCACACCGATACCCTAATTGTGAAAATTCTATAGACCGCTAAATCATCCGAGCTCGATATCAATGCTAAATGTTTACGAAGTCATGATAAGTACCATTTTCATTCCGCATGCTACTGCGCGCATTACGCGACAATCTTCAGCGAAATTGGACAACCTTTGAATTCATGTGACACATCTTCCGAAACATCTTACTATTAGTTTCTCAGCCACGTGACCTAATATTCTGCGAGTTGTCCAGTCTCACTGAATCCCACATGCGCGCAGTCGCGTGCGGAGCTAAACTGGTTGAATAGTGTTAGTCGTCTCTCGCAGTTTCGAGAATATTGAGATTTCGAAATTAGGGAGTAAATGCATATAATCTTGATCTGAAACTTCATTCGTAGCTTTAAAGAGTGAAGGACTGAAGGAATAACTTTATTACAAAAGAACTAAATACATAAAGGAATAGCAATAGTGAGCTGGTCGACAGGCAGACAGAATCGGTCGACTATTGATAGTCGATTCGATTGTCTGAAGCTTTTTTTGGAAAATGTTTGTTCAATGAGCATCGATGCAGGATTCGAGATCGTTAAGATCTTCCAACTGGTATTCCGAGACCTGCGGTTGACCCACTGGCGTGAAGGCGTAACCAATTGGAGAGTACTGTAATATAGTTGGTGTCTAACTGATAGAAATTGCAGTTAAGATCTGTAGGTAATCATGTTCTTTCGATGACTTTATATGCGAAAGTATTTTAAAAATTGTTCTAGATTGGGGACAAAATAAGAGACCCTCTAAGGAAAGGCTTATACTGTCATCATTGCAATAAATCACTATCAATCACTAGCATGACGCAGACCAAATGCGAGCTTAAGGTTCATCAGCCTTGTCCGCAAGGTTGTGAAGCAGGACAAGTGATGCTAAGTGATTCTTAGGAAACTGTGGTGCTCATAGCTACCGAGTGTTTGTGGGCTTAAAACTACTTGAACTTAAACTGCATGCTTTTCTCTAGTCCATACAGCATTTTATTATGAAAGTGGATTACTTCTAAACCGCAGGTCACGTCACTGATTTGTGCGACCGTACCATTTACGCCTACATTTTTCTTCTAGTATAAAGTTGAATTATTAGTTTCGTAGCATGATGAATTTATTCAAAAAGGTTGCAAACCATGAAATTCTCAGCCTAACAAGGAAACAGCCGTTTTCAGAAAAGCTCCAACACTTTTCAGACTCTGTATAGGCATATGAACCTTGGCGGAATCAAGTTGTTAAAAGTGTTTAGCATAGAAGACTGTTGACTTCCCCCTTGTGTGACACCTTTGTGCGTACTCCACCATGCAGAATTTTGATTCATGCTATCATGACAAGAAATTTATAGACCGGCACAAATCTGATTGAAAAAATCGGAAACTGCTCGCTTACCTGCGCCTTCGAGCGACTCTGTTTCACACAAGGACTTTTCTGACGTTCAGTCTGCTTCGGCTTGATCTGGGTCGCGAACCGAGAGCAATATGGCGTTTTCTCCTCGGCGGTCTCGCAGTCATCGACATCCGAGTGACCATCTGAATACAGCCTCATTACGACATTTTCTGGATTGCGCTGCATTCTCACTGAAATTTCAAATAACTCGATTAGGGCGGAGACATAAATAGGGTACGAATTAATCTTTATGGTAACTATTTAATCTGTGTCCATTTCTGCTAGAAACGAAAAGCAGATATCAAATAAACATGCCTAATCAATAGGTAGAATGAATTGTTAAACACAACCGAGATGGGTCGTGTTAGAGAACTGTCCCACCTAAGGAACACATACACTAAATAACGAAAAGACCTTCAGAGTGCAGTTGTCGCGCACTAAAAAAGTCGCCTGATGCGTAGCCATTTCAAACATTTCTGATGGCTAATGTGAACTTAGAACGAGATACCTTTCACTCGCCTTTCACCAATCTGAATACGAGTATGCGAACGAGACAGTCGACAGCTGGATGGCAAGTGAATATCGTCGAGGAAATCCTCACGGGGTCGTACATTGTTACGGTGGTCATGGGGTCAGTAACGTCAGATAGGAGAGAGAGGGTGTAGCGCAAGCAAAAAATATGTGAGAAAACATGAGATAAAATATTCTTTGCAGGTTCCAGTCGCTCCATTCCTTTACCTTTATGAGAAGGACGTATTTGAAAGCAGTACAAGGAATGAAAGTGCATCTCCGCAAGGCACCTCCTTTATCTAGGCCCGCTCTCTCGCCCTTAATACCTCGTTGAAAATGAGGCAGTTGTTAGGGAGCTGTCGCAAACCGGCAAGAGTTCTGGAAAGACCATGGGCGAATGAAGCTGTTCCTTAGGTTACGGAGTTACGAATTGTTCTACAACTTCGAGTGGAGGTCGGATGCATGGCCTATACTGAGACAAAGATCGGACGATGACGATTGCCCTTTTCCTTATTCGCTTATGTTGGGAGAATTTATTCTAGACACATTTCGAGCGTTGCCAACGAATTACTTGCAATGGTGAAGAAGGGAGCGGCTTTTTGAGCGGCCGAGAATCATCCTCGATAGATCCTCGACGCAAATATCTCCTCAACTAGAAAATGTAGAAGGAAGCTAAACAGACTGTTAGAAAGCGCAAACCTTCCGCTTTCCAAAACTGTCTTCGCTTTCCAAGATCTTGCTTGCGAAATTAGAGAGATATTGCCTTTTAAGTGGCAAAAACTCGCATGAAAATTTCAGCATCCTCGACGCTCCCTCGACAAAATTTGAGAGACCCTATCTCTTCGAGTGTAAAGCTTTCAGATCAATTTCAATATTGCCCGGTAGTAGCAAATCCAGCTCTATCTAACCCTACCACATACTGCTCCAAAGGTTATGAAATGGGGGAATGGAACCTTTTCATCGAGAGTGTAGATTTCGACGGTTTCGAGCGGGGTTTCGGCAAATCTGACCCACGGATAAACCGCGCTGCAACTGAACGCTTTGCTGTGCATTGATGGAACTCGCTTATTCACATCAAATCAAAGTTAGAGGGGTCGTATCAAGACCCCGATCTGAGGGGGGGGTCGTACTGATCTGACCACGTCCTCGACACGATTTTCACCCTGCTGGATGGGCACGGTAGCCTCCTTGCAGGTTGATGCGGTTGCGTTCGGAAATTGTCTC